CAAAAATATTCACCTCCTGGGGTGTGAATGGAAGCAACATGTAGAAGGAAAAGAAACTGAGATGCCACAGCAGAAACAGCCTGGATTCTTTCCTGACCACCTTGTGGCTAGATCTCAGGCTTATAAAATTAGCTAGAAAGAGGACACAGTGAAAAAAGATGACTTGGAAAATCAGTTATCTGACACAATTTTGGGAACTTAAGTTAAAAAGGATGATGGAAAAGTGACTGAAGCTGACATGTTTAGGCCATCTTTGATAGAAATGCAACAGATTCTGAATTGAGAGTTATACCAAAGAGCCTATTCATAAGTGTTGTATGAAACAGCCTACTTAGACGTTGAAGTGGAACCATTACCCAAGTGTTGTTATTTAAAAGACAATGTGTTAATAAGGGAATAGAGACCACCACAAACATCAACCAATGAAGAAAAGGCAATAGCCCATTCTGAGTATTGTAACAAAATTTTATAAGTGGCTCACAAAATTCCAATGTCCAACTGTTTAGGTATGGATATTTTAGCCTGATTTTTCTAATTCATTTTTATTAGCCAGGATTATATAAAGATGCAGTGAGGTTTTGCCAATCAAGTCATAGATATCATACAGTGGGGAAAACTTAAATTATATATTTAACCTGCTCCTTTAATTCCAATATAAGATTTAAAAAAAATTCAGCAGGGTAATAACTTTGTAGAATTCCTACCTAAAACCAGGAGTCGGAATCAGTTTCTTTTAACAATTATGGACATGTTGAGAACATTTCCTGTGGCAGTGTCTTTGTGGAATATTACAACAAAAATTAACATGGAAAAGTGAATTTTTTTTTAATGAGATATCAATTACCTGAGAAATACAATCCATGATATAAAATTTGTACCTTGATCTGATTGTATTTCTCAGGTAATATATAAAAAGGAAATGAATAGTTTAGAAATAAAACAAATTAAAACTTCAACTTAAAAAAAAAGCCAAAAGAACTGCGGATGCTGTAAATCAGGAACAAAAACAAAGTTGCTGGAAAAGCTCAGCAGGTCTGGCAGCATCTGTGGAGGAGAAAACAGAGTTAACGTTTCGGGTCCGGTGATCCTTCCTCAGAGGACGGGTTCTGAGGAGGGGTCACCGGACCCGAAACGTTAACTCTGTTTTCTCCTCCACAGATGCTGCCAGACCTGCTGAGCTTTTCCAGCAACTTTGTTTTTGTTCCTAAAACTTCAACATATCATCTTCAATCTCAAGGACCATTAGAAAGATGGCATCAAATTTTAAAGTCCATGATTAGAGCTTATTCATAGTAATTATTACTATTGTCAGAAATATCCTAATGATTGGGATAAAGGAATTCTCTTGTTAATGTTTACAATTAGAGATGCCCTTAATTAATCCACAGAATTTAGTTGTTTCGAAATGATATACAGACATGAGGTGAGAGGACCCTTAGATTGATTAAAGAATTTAAAACCAAAATTCAAAAAATTATACTTCCAACCTAATTGTCAATTTCAAAGAAAAGCTAAGCAAAGCAAGTGGATCAGTCCTGTGGCTCCATAGCAGCCACTCTGTAGGGTTAGAGTGAACACAGTTGAGGAGATATACAAGGACCGTCAGTTATGACCTTCTTTGTTACTTATGACCAAACAGCATTTCAAGGCACAATCCACCTGCATCAGTTGCACACATCCTTTATCCACGGACATTGGAATCTGGCATTTTCCAAACTTTTACATCCATAATGGCACTTATCCACTCAACTTGCAGGCCGCTTAGGGAGCACAGACTTGCATTGCAGGGCACATTGGCATCTAGCACTGAAAGGCTGCTACAAGGACACGTTTTGCATAAGGATGGGCACCAGATAATAAATGACACCAAGTGACATCTCAGGACTGCTCATTTCCTCTCTTAAGGCTTGCATACATGGTACCTGCCAGGATAATCACACTATTCATGCCTTGCCTTGTAATGACACGTCAATTAGTGCAGTCACAAAACCGAGCAGCTTGCCTTGCTGATCAGTCGTCAATAAAGTTTTACTGTACAGCACTGGGCTACATCCATGGCACACTTGCTTATGTGGCAAACAACCATTTCTCAGAGTCTTGGGGAAGCAGTCCTCACCAAAGCTCATGAATGTACCTGTCAGTCAGGGGTTCCCAGCACAGTATTCAAAGGCAACCTCTAATACCAGTCTGGGGTCAGGCATCTAGTCACGGTGTTCTCATTCAGAGGGTCTGTGTGTCTGAAGACTAGGGAGTGGGGCATGAAGGCTGGGAGAAGCAGGGATGACAACTGTGAAGGGGACAAAAGTATCTGCAAGAGGGGATATGGTGAAGCATAGATGGGAAGAGGATCATGTGGGCATGAGGGTGGGAAGGTTCATCCATGGTCAGGAGCACTACCAGGAAACAAATTTCGATGTTAAGCTAGCTAATGGTTCTCTGAGGCAAGCTTTCTCTTAATATTCTTTTCCCTTACAGACTGTATGTGTGTTCAAACTCTAACAATGTCTAATCTCCAACGAGCTACAATTATAACTATGAGGAAAGATTGGAGAGGTTGGAGTTGTTTTCCTTGGAACAGAGAGGGCTGAGGGGTGACATGATCGAGGTGTACAAAATTCTGAAGGGTAAAAATAGGGCAAATAGGAGGAACCTGCTTCCATTGGTAGCGAGATCAAAAACCAGGGGTCATAGATTCAACGTAAGTGGCAGAAAGATTAGAAGGGACATGAGGAAACACATTTTTATGCAGAAGGTGGTGGATGTGTGCAGTTCACTGCCAGAGTTGGTTGTAGAGGCCGAGACCTTACACTTTCAAAAAGTATCTGGATCTGCATTTTAAGTAGAGTAAACTGAAGGACCATGGGCTGCGTCCAGGAAGACGTGATTAGAAAGGGAATCTGGGTGCCTTTGGGTCAGCATGGACAAGATGGGCCAAATGGCCCCCTCCTTTGCTGTATCATTTTTATGGTTCTATGTGATCAGTTTGACCATTGGCAAACATCACAAAGGTGTCATGTTTTCCATGGCTAGTTTGATGGATTACTCATTAAGACTTGCTTGTGTCTCCCTGGAAACAGGTTTTTCTCTTGGTCCATTTGAATGAACTTTGACTTCATGCCAGCTTGATCAGGCAGCTCATGTAAGCTATTTCCCCGGAGCTTATGTTTTGTCTGATCTACTGGATGATACTTACACAGCATAAGCCTGTTCGACCAAACATTGTTAACTGATAAATTGTCCACATTATTACATATGATTCACTTTGTCTGCTTTTAAACAAGATTCCAGCCTTCCAGAGCTACCGAGTTGCAGAGTTACAACACTTATTTAAACATACACATATTCCTTTCAGTAAAGCACAAAAATGCATTAGACCAGCGACCTTTCTAACCATTAGAACATCATCAGGACTCATATGCTACTTTCTTCTCATTTCATTTCAGCCAGCCCAGCAATTTTTAGGTTAATAATTGCATATTATAATTGTCAATATTAAATGGAAATAATAAGAAATAATTTTGATAGAAAATGAAAATGCCTCTTTCGATGCCATTTCACTTTATTCTTTTTGGAGAGGTACGGTAAGGGTGAATAATAAATTATCATTTGGGAATTTGGATTTTAAAGTAGAGGTAAAATAACTATGTAGTTTGAGTTATGTGAAAACAGTAATTTTAAAAATAGGTCAGAAAGTCATTTAGAAAAGTGAACTAAAGTCATGATTTCCAAGAAGGCATGTCACTTTCGCTAAATATGTACCAGGATACCTATGGGTAAACTGATGACTGTTTACAAAATTGAACTTTTATGGCATACAGAAAAAATAGACCAAGAGCCATTAGCTTTCTTTTGACTTTTAGTTCAGGGTCAGATTTCATTTCAGGAAAACAGTCTCATTCTACTAGAAGTGTTTTAATTTGGGATGTCTCCATGCTATGAGAGTTCGTATAAAAGTCTTCAAGCTATCAAAATTGAAAAGCAGGTAATCAGAACTGGAAAGAAGTCTGCAGACTATCAAACTGGCAGATTCAGTTTAGCTTATAAAATTAAGACAGAAGTGACATTTCACGAGGGTCCAGTATCTGTATAGTACATTACTGAGAAAAACAAGTTGAAACTTGTAAGGAGCCATTGCCACAACGGACCATCAGCATCCCTCTCCATTACAATTGGTTATGTTTATCTAGAGATTAACTTCTTCAGAAATGCGGAGTAAGGTGGCACGACTCCATGCGCTACCACAGCTGCTTCAGCAATTGAACCTTTGCGGGTTGGCTTTGTTCCTCACCACATTCTAGTCACACAAAGTAATACACATTGTGATTAAACACCGTGAAAACACGCAGCGTACACTGCGTAAATTTATTCTAGAAAGTACTACAGCAAAACTTTGATATTTTAGTACTCCAATATCTTTGCTCTTCTCAGAATTTGATTCATTTTCTTCGAAAGAAACAAAGCAGAAGTGGACCCGAATAGATTTACCTCGAGGTGTCGGATGGTTTTCTGGCCAAAATGAATTTCAGCACCCGAAGGGTTAATTCTGCTTGTGGCAAAGTTTTCAGTGACGTTGCGAGTGGTTAAATTACTCAGAGTGGTAAATGCAAGGGAGGTTCGTTAAATGCAGCGACAGACGTAAGAGATTAGTCTGGATAGATGGGTATACGTGCGGGGGCAGGGAAGTGGCTCAGTTTTAATGTTGCGCCACTCTACCCAAGGAATAAAAGGAAAACGTCCAACAAAGTCTGAAGTAGATTCTCGCTGCCAGTCAACGCTCAGCTATCCATCCAAAGCCAGTATTCACAGCCACGAAAACCGGCAGTTCTAATACTTTGCAAAGATCGGCTTTCTGAGATCCAACGTGAGTTACTGGCGTGCTTCAGATGTCTGTTCAATCTCCTGAGACGGACTCACCGTTCCAACAATCTGATGGGTTGAACGAGGAGGAAATTGATGTAGAAAGTTTGGAGATCTGCTTTTCCCAAGGCGATGGTCTGCGGTGTGTTCAGGAAGATGATGAAGGGGAGGAGGAAGAGGAGAGGGTAATGAATGCCGACAAGAAAGCAAAGAAGCCAGCCCCAGAGCAACGGAGACTGGCTAGGAGCCCCAAGTGCGCTCGCTGCAGGAACCACGGCGTCGTCTCCTGTCTGAAGGGACACAAGAGGTTCTGTCGGTGGAGAGACTGTCAGTGCACGAACTGTCTTCTGGTGGTGGAGAGGCAGAGGGTGATGGCAGCCCAGGTAGCTCTGAGGAGGCAGCAGGCCACAGAGGTGAGACGAATTAAAAAATGACTCCATAGTGCGCGATTTCACAAAAAATAAACATTTAATTTAGAGGTCAAACAGTATGTAACCATCAGGCTTGCGTTGAACTTTCTGGTTAATCATCATTTATATATTTAGAGTATTTTAAAATACGATTTCTAAATTTAATTGTATCCCAAAGTGGCATGGATCAAGACACTGTAACATAAACTCTGTCAGGCAAGTTGAAAATTGGCATTGTCGCTATAAATTTGCAAGTGATGTTAGCAACTGTAGAATGAGTTTAATGAAGGCGGGACAGTTTGTGGAATCAAACTCAATTTTATTATATATAATCACGGGAAGCGTTGTGTATTTTAATAAAACAATAAGACTATAAACTTACGTTGTTGCACAAATTTGACAAGACATTCTGTTTAGAAGCCGGCTCTGTAGAAGCAAAAAATATTAGAAATAAGAAAAAAAATTCTAGAGAATAAGCATGTTCAACTTTACACCTGAGTGTTTAATTCACGCTATTGCACACGTGGCACATGTAGGTCTGACTGAATTATTCATTTCCTAATCCAAACAACAGAACTGTCTAAGATAATTTATATTAAAAAAAACTAACTACTTCAGGGAGTAAAATGAAGTCAGATACTTTTTAAAATGTTTTGTGCTTTCGTGACGTTTTTCCTAAATCTGGCACCATTGCGTCACTCAAATCAAAGATAAATCGAATTATAAATCCAATTATATTTAGTTGCAGCAGGTATAAGAATTAAATTATAAACACAATTCCTTTAATCCAATCTGACCTCGATCTCAAGTGCAGTCAAATTCTAATGTGTATATAGCGTTTAGGAAAACAAATATTTAAACAAACCTTCTACACTGAAAGCAACTTAAAGCCATTTCAGCAAAGGAGAAACGATTCAAGAGACGAATTGTCAGCAAACAGATAATGATAGATAACTAGTAGGAAGCTGTTCCATTATTTCACAGTACAAGTCTTGTTATAGGGTAGCCAAATAGATAATTAGAGTGTGATTATGATTAATGTGCTGGTTTTCTGATTGTGGTACTTGGACTGTTAGGTGTAGCGTTTTAAAAGACATTTTAAAGGATAAATTAATTAAATAGTTTCTGGTTTCAAAAGGTAAAGAAAGGTGTGAATTGCAAGGAATCAACAGCCCCTGTCCGCAGAACATCTTATCAGCGTTACCCCCGGATGCCCAGCCTCCTGGCAAAAAGCATATTGGAAGGTAAAATTGTTAAACATATACTCAAGAGATTAGTGATACAACTGACAAGCATTACAATTATCCGGACTCAACCCCTTTTAAGTGTCAATACAGTATGGAGCTGGAGGAACACAGTAGGTCAGGCAGCATCAGAGAAACAGAAAAGTCAGACAGGAAGGTCCTGATGAAGGGTCCCGACCCGAAACATCAACTTTCCTGTTCCTCTGATGCTGCCTGACCTGCTGTATTCCTCCAGCTCCACACTGTATTGACTCTGACTCCCAGCATCTGTAGTTCTTGCTATCTCCCTCTCAGCCTCTTTTAACTCAGTCTCTTCCCTTTAATCAGGTAGTTAAATTTTGTATTCATACATAATAGTCTTTCAAGCCTTCTTCATTTAGTATATGTTAGTCTATTCTTTATATCTTCTACACTTGACTTGATCTTTCATTGAGGGACTCAACAATAAAAGTAATGGCTTCGGTTAAAGTCTTTCTTCAATAACAGTATGATATTCATTGTATGACTTTCCGCCTTTCAGTTTAGACTGCATAATGTTTTTTCATTTCTAGTTTAAATTGAATGCAGAAAGATAAGGGTGGTTGTCATAGCTTTAGAAACTTCAAATGAAATAACAATTATGTAAAGTAGCAATTACATCACAGATTTGCAAAACAATAATCAGAAATTATGGATAAATTAAGACAGAATTGACCTGTTTCTCCATTCTCCACATTTCTTTGTTAAAGTTCTCTCTAGTCAGGTTTGTTGTTAAGTGATATGAATCTGTGTGATGCAGACCCATACAGCTTATTCTGCTGCATCAACAGATATATTGGCTAAGTGCAAAATCAATGCTGAATTGATTACTTTATGCCATATTGCTCTCACTCGCACTCTGTCTCTGATACATAGAATTTGTATAATGTTCCACATTATTGCTCACACGACCAATCTTCAAAATCCTGATTTTGTGCAGCTTTATTATGCCGAAACTTTTTTCATTTATGTCAGCTACTAACTTGACAAGGCTTTCAGTACTTTTCAACTGCTTTTTCAAAATTTATGTTCTTTTTTCGGATTTTCTGGTGTGTCACATCATGACTTTTTTAAGAAGCCAGATCTGTGTTATTTCGTTCTTAAAGGCATTTATCTCAATTACATCTGTTTCTGTGTGCAAGCCTTTCTGAGAATGGTTAGCTGTGTGTGTTAGCGATGAGTGAAGGTACTTGTGTGTCGGGGTGGATGGGGGTTGGGGTGGCTCTAAGTTTTCTCCTGCTTTCTTGATTTAGATCTGAGGAACTCCAGGTCTTTGAGCCAAATTCAGCTAGTGATGCTGTTGAATCTGTTATGGGTCAAGTGGTATTCTTAGTTTTACTGCCACGTACAAATCTTCTCCACAGCTATGGAAGAGATACTTAACGCAGAAAAAGCAGAAACTTTCTCGCTGACATGTGGTTTCTGAACCAAAAGAACAGTATAACAGCACTTAAATTTCAAAGTGATAGCGTATGTTTATGTGCCTCAATTTAATTATGTGTGTTGAAATATATTTTAATATATGCCAGAACTTTTGTTATCTCTGTGTTTTCCTACAAGTTGCGCACTGTAGTTTCCTGCAGTTTAGGTCCAATTATGCTGCAGGTAACAATTTCAGATAGGTTTCTATAGAGGGCGATATGTAACCAGCAGACCTGAGCCAAGCTGCACCTTGCAGTATCTTCCACTTTCTCAAGCTTGAGAGATTTGCAAGTGGGTGCAAACATGCATGCTTTACTTAAACAGGATTTTTCATAGTTGAAAGTCAGCTCATATATCCAACACTACATCATTTCATTTACAACCTTATTGTGATCTAAGAGTGCTTTAATACTTCAACATTAGAGTCAATGCAAAATGTTGCAGTCTCAGAAAATTCTGAAAGTAGCTATGGAGATGGGCCTGAACATATTTCTGATGACAAATAGTGTGCCAACTCTTGATGAAGATGCTGTTGTCCTATCTGGGGTTGACACCAAATAGAATATAACTGAATTTCGGTGCCAAACTTGGTTTAAAATGCTGTGGAGTGTCAACTAGACCTTTAACAACTTTTCAAACTTATCTGGATTTAAATTAGAGTATGAAAACTTCCACCCTCATTCCCAAAAATAATTACATTTTAACAAACATGAGAGACATTTTGTGATGTGAGCTTACATGCATGTACAATGCTGACGCCTAAATAGAGCGACTACAGTATAAATCAAAAGAGTTACTGACTGCCTGGAACTAACACTGCAACTATTTACATTCGGATGCTACCTGCAGTATAAACATATCATAACTTCCTCTCTTTGATTCCAGATCTTCACAATAGCAATTCTATATTCACTGATAATTGCTCAACCTGCAAACATAGAGAACTGTTCTGGAAAACTGTGTCCAAGTTTGTGAAGAATATATTCATTTTGCTTTACCTCTTTTTTAAGTCAGGGACTACCCATCAAAAGTTGTTAACCTAAATGAAATCTCTTCAAGTAGCACAAATGATTAAATGTAGCTGAATTAATTTATATTCTCTTTGCACAAATGAGGGCAGGTTAGTAAATATTCTTAGTGGTTACATCCTAACAAATATTCACAAGGATGAACATAAGTATCAAGGTAAAACACAAGATTTTGATACAAATAAAATTGAAGCCCTACAGAATCTGAAATAACTTGAAACAAATATATTCTTGGGGTAGATTGTATTTATCTCAATGTTAGAAGAGACAAGCAAGGATGTTTGTGTAGCATTGACAATCAAAAATAGTTGGAAAGGCAGGTTGTAAGTGGGATACAAACAGTTTAAGGAGAGATATTAATAGGTTAAGTAAATGGGCATAAAGTTGGAAAATTAAGTATAATGTGGGAAAATATGAAATTGTTCATTTTGGAAAACAGAACAAAAGAACAGAATATTTAAATGGAGAAAAACTGCAGAAAACTGCAATACAAAGGAAATTGAGGGTACTTGTGCATAAAACACAGAAAGCTAGCGCACTAGTGCAGCAATTAATCAGGAGCTCTAATGGAATGATGACCCTCATTTCAAAGGGGTTGGGGTATGAGAGTAGGGAAGTTTTACTGAAACTGTACAAGGTGCTAATGAGACCACATCTGAAGTACCGTGAGCAGTTTTGGTCCCCTTATTTAAGGAAATGTATTATTTCACAGGAAGCAGTTCAGAGAAAGTTCACTAGGATGATCCCTGGCACAGAATGATTGTCTTATGAGCAAAGACTAAACAGATTGGGACTCTATTCACTGGAGTGTTGAAGAATAGGAGGTGATCTCATTGAAACATACAGGATTCTTAAGGAGCATGGCAAGGTAAATGCTGTGAGAATGTTTCCTATCATGGAAGAGTCTAGGACCAGAGGGCATAGTATCAGAATAAAGGAGCACAAATTTATGACTGAGATAAGGAGGGATTTCTTTTCTCATTTGTAAATGTCATTTCTATTAGATAATGTTTCAATTATTTTATGGATGTAGTTTGTACTTTATCACTGGACATTGTACACTATATAGAAGGGTAATGTCAATATTGTTAATGGATAATATTTCCACATCGTACATACAGTTGCATTTTCTCTGCAGGTTATCGGCCTCGCCAGGATGACAATTTCTCCTGTCCAAACCGTTTTGTTCTACCACCACTAAGTGACAGAATGAGGAAAAGGAGAGCATTTGCAGACAAGGAGCTGGAAAGTGTGATGCTTGAGAGAGAGTACAGAGAGAGAGAGTTACAAGAATTTACTGCAGTTCAAGCGTTCACAAGACCCTGTGTGGAAACTGTCCCTGAGTACAACTTACTTAGGTTCAGCTACAACCAGTTTCTTGACCCATCACAACTTAACCCTTCAACATCCAGGGAATTACTGAATTTTTACATTCCTCTTGTGCACACAAACCCTGCCCTCTGGGACTTTGGAACTCAGTGTTACCAAGGAAACATTGAACAAAGCAGGGGTTCCCATTCAGCAAACATGGCAGGCTGCATTTCTGAACAAGCATCAGGCTATACTTCAGTATGGGGGCAAAAGTCTACAGCAGTCAACAATTCATTCTATTCAAACAGTACGCACAATCATAGCAACTTACCTGAACAGCTGGATCCTATGCAGAAAATTTTATCAAATGGAAAGCTAACCGCAAAGGAATTGTGTTCTGGTCACAGAGATTATTGCACTCAGGCAAAAATTACAAATAATATTGATTCAACCTATGAAAGTCCAGCTGTCCTTCTCTCCCAGAAAAAGACTGCAGAACACATAGGTCTGTCTGAAAAGCATATTTTACTGAAAAATTACTTAACCCCAGATTCACAAGTAGTTCCTGAGCTGAGGAGTAAATCTGCTCCACATAGCTTCATTGCAAGAGAAACTTTAAGACAATTTGCAAAGAAAACACAGGACCATTGTTCTAGTAGTCAAGTAAGAATAACTAAACAGCTGCTACCATTTTCCGTGGAATCCCTTTTGAAAACATAAATTTGAAGACAGGTTTCGTTCCAGTTTAGAAGAATTCCATTTTGAATTAAATTTTACTTTTTCCTGGAGGAAGATCCAATGCAGCTAAGTTTAAAAAAAAAGTCTGATAACCTGCTCACACTTAAAAGGCAGTAGTTTGTAAATTGTTGTTTAAGTATTGTTAATAAAATATCCTTGAGATGCTTGTCTTTTGACCATTAATTAAAGAGGTCCTTTTATTTTCCTTCATATTCAACTTATTTTAGTGTACTTAAATGAGAATGTTTTGTTCAACTTAGTTGTTAATTCAATTTGAAAAAGAAGTGTTCATATAAAAAGAATCCACAGATGATAGAATTCTGGAATAAAAATAGAATGGTAGAAAGTCAGTGAGTCAGGTAGTATCTATATAGAGAGAAATAGAGTTAACATTTCAGTTTGATGATCTTTAATCTGAACTGCTTTTGTAAAATACTTGTGAGCTTCCTAATGAAATAACTGTAATCAATACGTGATCATAAGAGAGACGCTAGTAAAAAAAACTTTGGAGCCATATTTTCAGTGACCTCAATAAGAGAATAAGGAATCACTGTGAAATTAAGTTTATGAGGGAGTAATCTTAACAGCACTGCTTTTTCTTTCATTTTAATTCTAAAACATATTATTGCATGGTGTAATGGTAAATGGTAATGTTCAACAAGGCATTCCATCATCCAACTACTTTTGGAAATTAAATACTGCATGGCTGAAAATATTGCTACTATCCAGGCAGATCTATGGTTGAACCCTTAGTTTGTATTCCTTTGTCTGGTCAGGTGATAGCCTCACTGCCCTTACCAGGAAAAGTCAACCACGATTTCTGATTATATTTCTGATTCTTATTCAGTAACTCGAGTTACATCAGTTTGTACATTGGATTGCATAAAATCTGTGTAATCTTTTAGGCTGAAGTGAAGCAATACAATATCCATGTTAACTCATTGCTGAACAATCCTTGATAATGATCAAGGTCCATACTACTGAATTCAGTACAATAATTCACGTCACATAGCACTCAGAATTATTTGAGACCCTTTTCAATTGCTGTATCAGGTATATTTTTCAAATTATGATTATGATTACGTTTCAATCGATATTAGGCCTTTTGGACCTGCTAATGCAGACACCCCTTCTAGCTAACATCCTGTATTGGTGCCATCTCAATTATAGTTAATATAGCTTCTCATGTAAGATTCTGGAACTTATTTCATCTGTGCTACTGACTATACCTCTACTGATTCTAATCCAGTTCTCTTGCACTCTTAGCATTTCATAATTCAGGTGGCTATTTACTGTTTCTCCATTGATATTAAATTAGCCACCTCACATTAACAGCTCTTCAGCAGTATCTTGCAACACACTCCAGATGGCACTAACTTTTCAGAAACATAAAGTTTGCTAGTGAGACCACCAGAAGAGTTGTTCCTACACCACCAGAGCTTCATAGGCTGCTTGTTAAATTTTACTTACTAAAGGTAAAAATAAAACTTCAGCTGCTACTGGTAGCATATTTAATATCTGAGATTTTATTATTAGGTTTTTTGATGGCAGTCTGAGGCTGGCAATTAGTGATTTGCACGCACATTTGAATATCTGACAATGGAGTTCTACTCTCTCTTGCTCACAGATGATGTAAGCAGATAGTATAAGTTATACTGCATCATATATTGCATGGTGACAGAATATCAGCTGGTGTTTTATCATAAGTGTAATTAATTCTTATTATTTCTTATGATGTCATCTCTACTCTTTCCATTGCTAATCTGAGTAACTCCAATGCTTTAAATGGCATTAAGTATTTATTCCTCTGGGAACAATCAAAGATATGCAATTTTAACATTCTCATATGTACTGTCTCAACCAACAACAGATCCACTGTCCAGAGTGGTCAGAAAATTAAATAAGCAATCTAACCTGTTACTCTAACCACCAAGCTATAAATATTTTTTTCACATTGAATGAGAAAAGAGTTTTCAAAGCTCTTATCAGATGATGCATCATGCATTTTATTAATGTTTAATGAGGGTGGTATTAAATGGGGAAACTGCAGTAGAACTGAGACATTTAAAAGTATAAAATCTACATTACATATGAGATAAAACAACAAAATAGCAATGATGTGAGGAGATAATTCAATACAGAAGCTAGTCCTGACATTGAAGTAACATAATTACTATACATTTTTCATATTAAAACTAAAAAGAAATAGGCCTCAGAAACTGTGGAACTTCTAAAAATCAGAACATTAAAATATAGCTGATCTGGGGGTTAATGAAGTCACTTCAAGAGTCCATACTACAAGATTTTGATACACAAACATGTGCACTGGAGCAGACTTTTGGAAAGGTTTTTAGAACTTTTCAGAACAGTAAGTTACTTGTTTATTTTCCCTAAGTTACTCAATTGCTCAAACTCTTGAACATCAAAACAGTAAGTAAGTTTATATATTCTATTTAAATAGAGAAAAAAAACAAGTAAAGAGTGAGAAAAAATGCCTAATAACCTAGTGACATGATATTTGGATTGAAGTGGCTAAAATATCTCAATGTGCCCAAGTGTTGCTTTGTTCAGTGACAGGCATGTGCTCATTTTAGCATTTCCTAAAATTAGAAAGGCTTCTTACGTTACTTTAAAGTCAGATGCGTTCAGAGACGCGTTCAGATTTCACTTCAGGGATTTGAACATAAAATCTAGGCTGATGCAGTAGTGCAGTACAAATGGAGTGTTATACTGCCAGATATGCTGGGTTCAATTTTGCAGAGTATCATGCACCCTGCCTTACGTCACCCCTTGCCCCCACACCCCTCATGCTAAAGTCGTGAGTTGGAGGTTAGCTGCCCATTGGAAGAATGGCTACCCTGCTGTCATTTTTGGCTATTAGTAGGCTGGAGGCAGGACCTCTCTTTCTAATGGATAGGAGGTCCTAGCTCAGACAACTGCTAGCCAATTTCCTTCTCTGCACCAGCATCCGGTGGGAGTTGTGGCCACTGCTGGGACTATAGACAATTCCTAATGGGGATTCCTGGTGAAGCCTGATACCAAGATAATTGGGAGAGGTGGGGAGCATGGGGAAGCATTGCTTAGGTAGTTGGTTCCCTGGTAAGAGGGATTGAGAAATTGGGGTGAGGCTTTGACAGGCTGTGGGGGGGAAAACATCAGGGGTGCAATCCTGATGTGGGGTTGGGAAGGTGATTTCAATCGGAACAGTTAACTGACGAAGGAGGTCCCTTTCTTGTCTGACACCAGTTAATGCAGCTAAAGCTGCTAGGTTCTTGTTGGGCATGGGCTTCCATTTACAGCGGGTAAAATTGCAGTGGAAGTGTGATGAGACCCTAAAGCTGGCCACTTACGTATCTCCACAGATTCAAGGGCAGGCAGGCCATCCAATAACTTCACTGCTACCTGTACAATTTTAGACAGGTCTGGAAAATGTGGTGGGAATGCCATGGGCTGGATTTTATGAGCACTGCTCCTCAAATCCACTGGTGGTGGAGGGTAAAGTGAGCCACTGTCAGATATGACATTAAATAAAGGCACCATTCATCTTCTCCATGATGCTATCTGATGGACAGCAGGTAGTTGTCTCTAATGTCCCGGCCAAAAGTCCTCAAACAGCTTAAAAATGCACACCGCCTGGCCAGTAATGTATTGCTGTTTGTAGGATCTTGCTGTGTGCAAATTGGCTGACCTTTCATTAGACTTTAAACTACTTAATTAGCTAAGAGAGTGAGGTGGTGAAAGATGCCAAATAAATGCAAATTTAAATTTCTTATTGCTAAAGCAGTTCTAAGATTTACTTTATTTTGTGAACAATTCTTTTCCACTTAATAATAGTTAAGGTGCAATAAAAGGTTCAAATCTATGAAAGATTTGAGTCATGCTTTCACAAAGACTGTGATGTGATTAAAATCTCACTTCAATCTTCTCTGGCATATGAGAGAAAGTTTGTCTTGTTTCCAATGTCTATCTCACCTCTGCCCTTCAATCTATGAATCACTGTCACAATGTTTCTTGTCACACTCTGATTTATTGGAAGTAATGTAGACATTACCACTGGATTTTTGTTTCAATCATTTTAAGCCCCAAGTATGCCATTTTTCACGTTCAAACTCTTAGGTGAATCCTAATTGTGCTGAAATCAGGTCACCATACTGTTTACAACTTTAACTCATTCTTTCTTAGGACCTTATAAGCTTTACTTTAAAACAAAATCCAAAAGCCTTATCTTTCTAAGTTTCTTCAATTGAAATTTTAAATATCCATTAAAAGACACTGTCAAACAATTTGCTCCATCAGGATGTCAGAACTTACATTTTAAAACTGAGCTGGAATCTTTCACGCCATTCCTGTCAGCAACCCCTTATTATTGACATCACTTGGCCCCAGTCAGTGTAAATACCAGTATTCTCACATTTTTACCTGACAGGGCAGAAATGTTATGCAATTCCAAGAGTATCAGATACAGTGAAGGACATTACAACTAAAGGAAAGCTAATGCAATGAGAAATAATATTTTTGGGAAACGATCTGAATTATCAGACACTGTGATTTCTTTTAACTATCACACTGTATTTTCAGGACTAATGCTGTATGCATTTTTTAGAGTCTGCATTTTCTGCCCTTCCATCCTGACTGTGTAAATTTGCGCAATGCATAATGAAACAATTATAGTTTTATGTACAATGTTGATATTATAGCAATGTTAACTATGTATTGTATAAGTTACAACAATAAAATAATACTTACAATTGATATGGAAGTGTCCTATGTTAATATATGCCACATAATCACAACTCACAACGTCCCACTTAAAAGTGTTTGCCTAATTTTCACCTGAATGATTCATGTATTATATACGTAAAGTAGCAATTAATCACAAATTGAACATTTAGGAACTTACCAAACAACAAGTAGCAAATGGAAATAAACCAAAAACATAAAAATATTTAATAATACTATCAATCATGAGTCACCAATCATCA